CAATCAATCAATCAATCAATCAATCAGTCAGTCACACAACACTTTACCTTTTTCAGTGCTTCTGAAGCGGTCAATGTAAAACGCAGACTGCGGAGGGCAGACTCGAGACTGGAGGCCGGGAATAAAATGCAGACTGAGGGTAAAATGCAGACTGTAGACTGTAGACGTTTTAACTTGAATCGTGTTACCATTTCCGTCATTGAGAGCTAACAGTAAACAGGCTAGCTGGAGCGCTATTATTTAAATTTAGGTTAACCTGAGTGGCATTCAGTCTAACTTGAGTGATATTTAACATACTTAAAAAGTCTGTAGTCTGCAGTCTGCACTTTACAGGAATTATGCACCCCCGCTCCCCCATCGGGCTAGGAAAACGACTTGTTTTGTTCTCGTGATCAACTTAATTATAATCACTTCAAAACGGTAATAATCTACACGGGAGGGAATGATAACCCTGATTCAAAGGAATAACACTGCTACTGGTGTTTCAGTTGTAGTCAAATTTATTGTAGCTCTGTGCTGAGATACAGCTTGTCGCGATATCGATCGGTATTACATTAAGTTGGATTACAAACGATTTCGATTTCTTTGGAGCATATTCTTTTCGAAGCGGGTTTAATTTCTAATGTAGGCTATTTAAGCTCAAAATTCAACATTAAAGAGAGTTTAATGCCGTAATGAAACACAGAAGCAACCCCAATGGTAAAGCGCTTCTGTGTATTCCGCGAACGAAACTATAAGGTTACGGGATATCCATGAATATATTTTGTCTGAAACAAGTTAAGGCAAAACGTGCTATCCACTGAAAATTCTGAAAAGAACTCTTCCCCCTCCACTCTTTTATGGTCATGGTTAATTTGTTAACTGACTGCGTTAAACAAGAAGTACAAAGACCACACAAAGGAGGGCGATACCTATCCTCGATGCAAAATATGTATGAAGAGATTACACTGCCACTGGCGTTAAAACCGAGATTTATTGCAAATCGGTTGTGTAGCTCCGTGAGAAAATCATCCTTACGATGCGTGCAACCTAGCTTACAAAAGATTTGTGAAATTTCTTAAGCCATGTTCTCTTTAGAAGCAGTTCTTTTTCTGATACATGGGATTTCGGCTTTACGGTATAGCTTCACATTTCATCCAAGCCGAAGCAATATTGCGTGGATATCCACCGACTAGTTGAAGACTGCCATCATCAAGCTTCCAGTAGTTAGTATCCTTGAAGAAATAGGTTCTCCGATTACCTTTCCATGTCATGGCGGAGTTCATGTTCATGGAGAGCGGGAGGCCTAAAATGTCAGTATCAAACGACAATTTAAAACAAAGCTATTCCATAAAGTTCAGCAGTCTACTACTCTTTATCCTAGGGTATCAGTCTATTTGTTTGCAAGCTCACATGTAGCAGTTTCGTATAGTGTGATCGTCCGGGTGAGTGTAGTTCTGAAAAGAACTGTTGTTGGTGACTGACGTTTCGACAACCTGAGCGAAAGTCATCTTCAGAGT